ACTGATAATTAATTGGAATTTGTTGTTTTTGCTTTTGGGGGAAATCAATAGTATCATCAACACTGTCTTTCATACTCCTTCCATCACCTGCTTGTAGGACAGAATCCGAAATTAGAAGTGAGGCTATTTCTCCTCTGACCTCCACTTCTATAGGAAGGTTAGGAAATCTCTATTTTTTCCTTCCGTATGTTGTTTTTTAGACACTGCTTCCAAGGAAAAGAAGTGATTCTCAGTGCTGCCAAGTTTGCTGTGAGGTCAGTCATGAAAGTAAAAGAAAAAAGCTGAAAATCTGTGATCTTTGGCTACAAACCCAGGATAGCTAGACCAGGCTGGTCTCGAACTCACAGAGATCCACCTGCCTCTGCCTCCCCAGTGCTGGGATTAAAAGCGTGTGCTACCATGCCCGGCATATGCTAATGATTTTTTTTCTTTTCGGCCTTGAATCCATTGGGTTAAATTTACTTTGTATCAAGGTTGTGGAGAATTAAGTGTGGAAACTGTTTTAAGCTATAGTATTAGAATTTTAAGCACCCTTACTATGGAAATGTCTGATTTCAGTGCGCTTTGGAATGGATGGAAGGGACCTATGATTTGAATTGTGAATACATCTTCCCAGTAGTTTGATTTTGTACCCATTTGACTCATGTACAGTTTGAAAACTCAATTTTCTTTTTTTTTAAATTGAATTTTTGTAATTTTTGTACAATAGAATTTGATGGTACTTAGGTCCCCTCCCCTATTCCCACCTCCACTTTATGGCCCCTCAATTTAATGTACTTTAATTTTTTTGTCTTCAAAAGGCCTTCAATGTGGAGGAGCTTGGTTAACCTACCAAGAGTCCCTTTCTTGAAAGAGACTGTCTCTGCCCCTGCCAGTAACCATTTGTTGCCACAATTTCCTTAGGAGATGGAGCTTCTTCTCTACTTCCTCTCATCTCTGCTAGGATTCTGTCCGGTTTGAGTTTACCTGGGATTTGTGCATGCTGTCACAATTGTTGTGAGTTCATATGAGTAACTGACCAGTGTTCTGGAAAATTCTGATTCCTTGTGCTCATCTACCATCTCTGGCTCTTAAAGCCTTTCTGCTCCCTCTTCCACAAAGATCCCTGAACCTTGGGAGCACAAGTTTGATATAACTGTGCTATTCATGGACAAGCACCCTGCAGCCTCTTGTTCTCTGCATGTTGGCCAGTTGTGGGTTTCTGTTACGGGAGTAACCAACCAGCCACTCTTCAATTGGATTTAAGGTCTGCTCCCTACGATAGACTCCATACCTGACATTGATATCAGGCTTACGGACCTGAGGCCAAACAGGTCACAGGACATAAGGGAGAACCTAGTACTAGTTTTCTTCTAAATAATTAGAATATTAAACTGACTCTTAATGACTTATTGTCATGCCCATAGATTACTATATCTCTCAGCTCTCACCAGAGAAGCACAACTTTCATGTGCGGTTTGTTTTCCTTCTTCAGAATAAATTGCATCCCTTCCCAAAGTCGATGCCTACAATCTGTACCCTTCTTGCTTTGCGCTCTTTACTTGGGTTCTTCCTAAATGAAAATGTAAACTCTGAAAGGGCAAGAACGTTTTCTCTTTTGTTCCCATGGACATAGAACTCAGAACAGTGCCCAGCATACTGAGACTTCTCCATGAATTTTTGATAGGTATTTAGAATGTATGACTTTCAAGGGTACTTAGCCTTACAATGATTAAAATGAGGAGAGCTGTAAAATGAAGTTGCCATGTGTCATTAGAAGACAGTACACTGGGCATCTGCCCTTTGAGGAATTTGCCTTTTGAGTTGAATTAAGGCTGGAATTCATTCTAAGTCATCTGGAAGCACTTTCCCGTCAAGTTTGTAAGTGGTCCCAGGACAGAAGAGCTGCCTCTGTTTTCATGCCCCTCTTTACCACATGCCTCTGTTTTCACAAAGCAGAAAGGCTCCTAAGTTGAGAATACTATGAACAGAAACACTTGGCTAAATTAAATTTTTCAGAAAATTAAATCAGAAATCACAGAAATAAATGATTTAGGGTATTTGGGTTGAGGCTATAGCTCAGTTGTTATAGTATTTGCCTAGCCTACATGAGACACTAGATTCAGTTCCCAGAGCTAGCATAAACCAGGGGTGTTGGCAGAAGGATCAGAAGTCCAAGGTCACTCTCAGCTATTTAGAGAGTTGGGGGCAAGCTTGGGCTACATGAGACCTTGTCTCAAACAAACACAAACACCAACAGAAAGACTAGGGGTATGCATCCCTGGATGTGTTAGGTAATTACTGATAAGGGGAAGTTGGCATTTTCTGAACATAGGGCTTCTTTAAATCTTCTCCAACGTGAAGAGCTATTGACATGCTCCTGATTTTGCCACATCTACACTGTCCTTTCCACTCTCTTGAAAATGACTACTTAATTTCTTGACTAATTAAAAGCAAACAGAATCAGTCTCAAACATCACTACCAAGGAAAGAATGTTTAAGTTATATAAGGGTTTTCTTTATTTAACCAATTTGGTCACAGACAGCCTAAAGTAGTGCCCGTTTATGTTAAAACCTCTATGTACAGAGGGTTTACATTGACAGAAAAAGACTTAGAAAATTTAGTCTTTAGTCTATATCATTTAGAATTAAGTTCCTTGAACTGATTGGTATTAATAAATGAAAAATCATCTGTTATTTTCTTGCTAATGGGATGGGGCATTTATCTTCTCAGAAACATAGTTATGAGTAATGAAAGACATTCATTTTAGAATTAAAATGGGGGGGGGGATAAACAAATACCAAGTATTGATATGATTCATATATTAAAGCATATTCATATATTGTTGCCCTTACAACAATTGGCCAATTATCAGACAAATGTGTACTTACTGTTTCTTTTAAAAGGAGGATTAAAATCTGTTTCGTTAAGAAACCACATCAAAATTCACCATGTAATACTTTTCTTCAGGGGCATTGCCAGAGTTCTGAAACCAACCCTTTTATTGGACATGGGAATGTGCATGCTTATGTCCCATGGAATAGAGTCTGACATGGTAAGGGGCCAAATGGGATTATGTTCCTTCACTCCATCCTCCTTCCTGGGCAGGTTGGCACTGGTAAGATTGAAGGAGCGTTTATCAACTAGTGAATCCTGTATCTCCTTGCCAACAAAGCAGGGGCAAGTTATGAAGACACCTGGATTGGAGGGGGTGGGGTGGGCATAAAAAGAAGAATAAATTACTGTTGGGAAGAGAGGAAGAAGTAGGGCAGGGGCAAGGACCAAGAACAGATCACCCTGGTTTTCCAGTAGCCAATCCCATTGGCTGCTGCTCCAAAGATGTGAAAACCATTCCAATCACTATGTGAATGGGAAAGAAGGCAAAGAAGATTTTATTTCACGGTGCTGATTTTGAAACTGAAAATTGCACATTAAATATGCACATTGAAACCCTAATATTATTTAACTCAGAGAGACATTTTTTGATAACAAATTACTCAGAAGTGTTTTACAGAAAAAGCAGAGCTTAGGGATTAAGGTATCACTGTCGGAGAGTTCTTACACATTCTGAAGATGAGAACATGACATGGAGGTTCCTTGTGATGAGACAGAAAAAAAGATGGTGGCTGTGATGGATGTAAAGTAACCCTCAGCATTTTCTGCCTTTGGTGTGGTGTAGAGTACAACACAGCAAAGCGCATCTTTCCATGGCAAAAGGGATGGATCAGCAAAATTTGAGTTAATCCAAAGAGGAGGACTGTCAGGGGAAGCCTCTCTAGTCACACAAACCCTTCAAAGCACAGAAGTTTCTCTGCTCAGCAGCAGAAGACACCAGAGAGACTAGCAGTGTGAGGGCATCAAAGGATCCTGGACCAGGGATGGTACAGCTTCTAGGAACTGAGAAGGCCCCTAAGCTGGAGCAGAAAGGAAATGGAGACTTTAGTCCCGTGATGCTAAGAACTAGATGAGAGAAATAATCCAGTGATTGCACGACTATTCTTAGAAATTAAGTAAGATCCCAAGCAGGCTGACTAGTAGACTTGTGCCTGTTCATTCTTGAGTAGAAGTTATAGCTCAAATCCAAACTTTTGAACTGCCAAGTTGGATGTGGTTTTAAGCTGGTAAGTTAATGGCAGTTTGCTGAACAGTCATAGGAAATGAATAGAATGCTATTATAAATTTGATATCTTTTAAGAGGAGTATACACACATATGTATATACACTTTTTGACTTTTTTACTTTTATTTTATGTATATGAATGTTTTCCCTGCATGTATGCAAATATACCCATGCTGTGCAACAATCATGGAGACCATCAGATCCTGTGGAACTGGAGTTATGGGTGGTTGTTAGCTGCTATGTGGGCTCTGGGAACCTAACCCAGATTAGCTGAGCCATCTCTCTACCCCCAAGGAGTATATTTTTAAATCCTAGGAACTTGAGTTTGAAGACACTGTCATATTAATTCATTCCTTAGTCTATCTTAATGGTTAAGATTCTGCCACATTTAGTGGTTGGTTTCAGAGATATAGAATTATTTAACAGTTACTATTAATTGCCACTTCCTAGGTCTGTGTTTTTGAACAATGGAGGGTAAGGAGAAAGTCACAGCATTCTTTAAATATTGCCATGGCCTCACTTCAGTCTCTAATGTAGATCAGGTCCTTTCTCTCTACATTTAGTTTAAGTGAGTACCATGAGGAAGCTGACCTCAGAGCAAGGTAACATGAAAAAGCAACAGAAATACTGAAAAAAAAAACTTGAAAAAAGTTACTTCCTCTTCAACTCCTTTTCTCTTTACCACCAACTATTCAAGACAAAAGGACGCTCAAAGGAACAGTGACTGTGAGTGTTCTCCCACAGGTGGAAGGCTTGAAACTTCCTGAACTGATTTTTAGGTCAATAAAGTCAAGATTAAACACTTCAAGTTCATATGGATTAAATGAGAATTTACTGAGTTTCCAGAAGTGATGAAAACACAAAATTTTATTGTTTCCTACACAAACATGGAACATGGTACCTTTTCAATTCTGCTTTCCTGAGATTTCTTAAAGTAGATTGTGGGGATCCCCAGTTCGGAGGCAGCTATCCACTGCAGAGTGGCTCGAAGCTCAGCATCAGGACACTCTGGCTCCAGGTCAAAGTTGATCACCAGCAGGCTCCTCTGAGGGCTGGTTGTTCTCCCTGGCAGTCCAGAGGCCTGTTCTGAACAGACACAAGCACAGCCTTACTCTGCTTTCCAAAGGGAGATCCCAGGAAATTGTGTGTCAACATTAGGGAAATGTGGCTTACCCTTCAAGCTTTCTGACTGTCCTTTAAGAATCTCCTTTTCTTCTACTAATTCACTTTGGGAGAAAAGAACAGTATATGGTTGATAATGTTTAGGAAGAATAAGCTGTAATGGAAGATGAGGTGATGGAATCTTCTGGAATTCACTCTTACGGTTCTCATGGAACAAAGGAACATTGGGGACAGAACACCGGCCTTATGTAAGATGACTGGGTTTGCAATTACTGTTCCCTTTCATCACAGAGAAGTTTTCGGTAATGTGAATGGTTTTAGTTAGAAGAGTTGGTGTGGGAGACTTTGAATTCCATCTTTCATTTCTTTTCAAATTCCTTTCTGCAAACCTCCCCAGGGTAAACTTAAGGAGAGACGTGGGCAACTATAGTAAATTTGGGGATTTACTCTTGTGCATTTCACTTGCCTCTTAATGGACCACATTTTCCCACTTTTGTTTCAATGTGTTTTCTATACCGTGGTACCAACATATACTTGCATTTTAATGTAGAGAAATAGGTTTTACATGTATAGCCTTCTGTGAACTGGGATCAGGGCAATCATCAAACAATGAAATATAAAATTTATGGCAAAATATATCAATAAACAGAATCCTTTTTCTTTTTATTTTTAGCCAATTGAGGTAGAGCAGGCTGGAGATAATTTACAACTAAGGTCTCGCGAATAAATTGAGCCATTCATTAGCTATGATCCCATTCAATATTGGAGATGTTTTTGCATAGTTTTTACTTGTTAAAGAGTCCTACAAGTACTGGAAAGACCCAGTAAATGCTTCCAAACTGAGGGCATGTGGCTCAGCAGCAGAAAAGAAGTGACTGCCTTGGGAAGCCTGCAAATGTCCTGCATTTTTATGTAGTCAGAAATTTGGAGTTAAGTTTTTAAGATGTATCTTTTGATAACAGAAGATTCTTTCACATATGCTGTTGATTCTAAAACCTGGCTGATGAATTCCATGGGTCAACTCCATGAGTGACGATAGTTTCACTGATATTGAAAGATTTAGCTGCTCTTTCATTAATACCTAATTGTTTGCAGAAAGGCCAAATTTCTAAGGGTCCAGATTTTATGACTGATCTTTGTACAAGTAATGTAAATGGCCTGGAAAGTTGGAGATGTAGTTTCTGTGGAAAGGGATGCTGACTATGGGTGAAAGTGATTTAGACTTTGCTTGATAATAGACTTTTCCTGGAGTATGGATTCATTATTACAAAGAGAGAAAGAGAAAGTGCTAAACTAAAATTAATCTACAACAAAGTAGTTTTTCTTTGTTTTGTTTTATGTTACCCTCGTCTGTTCATCCCTACTTGTGAGTAATGAGAAAACATGGCTCGTGGCACCCTTCAATCACTGAGGAGCATATCCGATTTAGTGCTAAAATAAAAGTGCTTCCTCTACAGAAAGTAATTGAGGAAATAGGTTAGGAATCAGTGTTGGACTGCTACTTTACAATTTATCTAAAATTTCAGAAATTTCCAAATAACAGTTTAAGTCACCATAGCCAAATTAGAATACAATTCACTTAACTTTCAGAGTAATCACAAACTAGAAGTGGCCACGACTTCAGGTTGCCCTTCTGTTCTGTGTCTCATTTCATGTAGTGCAGCTTGTGTGTCCCTAAGAACTTTCTTCTTTTGGTCTGTGAGAGGTCCACATGTTGAGGGTGCAGAGTTACCAGGTGGGGATGACATCTGTATCTTGGCAACCATTTGACATTAGATGCATTTCATTTCATATTGACAATCCCTAGTGTCCATCAGCAAAAGAAAAGCCAGCCATATCTGGTTTTGCTTAAATGACTATATTCTGCAGTACAATTGTTCTGGCATACAATTTAAATGGAATTTTCTTTTTATAAAGCTAAGTAGGGAAAATGACAGGTACATCTGATTGTTGGTAAGCTTTGTCTGGAATGACTATTCCTTAGGGGATGGGTGTGAAACCGAGAAAGCAGTGATGGGCTGGGGCCTGTTCTAGGCCTGAGCTATCACTCCAGTGACATGGAATTGCAGTGGCACAGACAAAATGAAACGGCAGCTGGGCACGACCTGCACGATCACAGTGATGGCCAGATGGAGTCGGAGAAGTGCTCTCACGGTCACTGAGTCTCGTGTCTACTTACTTAGTCATGGGAGAAGATGGCATGCTTTCCTGATAACTGTCCAGATCCGTAATGCCAAGACTGCTAGTGGCACTACTGTGGCCATTGCTGACAAAGCAAAAGTTCACACATTAATGCCCGTCTCTGCCCCTGGCCACACTACTGACACCCTACTGCACTGAGAGGTCTAGCCTGTGCTCCCCAGGAGAATTGTGCTTTGTGCCTAGACCATCTGCGTTGCTACTGATTTTTGACTAAATTAGAGGAAAAGGTGAGGCCGAAGCCAAATAGGTTTATTCCAGTGATAACTGACAATAATAACAAAACGGCCTATAGTCTCTGAAGTGGTGCCATGCTTGGCGAATCATTTATAGTTGGTAACGACCAAGGATTCTTCACTTCCTCATTCTGCTTAGAAGGAAGATGCTGATCATGAAGGGTTCTTGCTGGGGGGGGGGCATGCCTACTGGAGATGTAGACAGCAAAAATGCTGCCTATGGAAAGAACCAGAATGCTTATCTTCCTGTTTCTTAGTTCTGGATAAAAGCCAGGGAGCTCGTGTTTCCCTTGATATGTAGACAATTTTTCTTACGGCTAGTTCCATTCGGTATTTACCTGACTTGTTATTTTCCTACAGGACTATAGAATCTACAAGTACAAAGTTGGATAAAGTTTTACTGCTTTTTTACTTAGCAACCTCAGAGAGGAAGTAACATGTGAGCCCTTATGTATAATGGAGAAGGAAAACCACATCTCCAGTCATTGTTGTAGGTTGTATAATCAATGCACAGTCTACTCACAAGCCTGGAACTTACTCTCTGAAACACATTAGGGTTGAGCCAAGTTTGGGGCTCTATCTGGACATGTGAAATAGCACATATCCAATTTTTAACCAAACTCACTCAGTCGCCTCACGCTTTATTCGTTTCCCAAATCTCTCTTTGAAGCAAGGTTTTGAAAGGGTGACTGCTGGCGTGTTGTGTGATGGGGTGTTGTTCCTTCAAGATTTGCATGAGTGACCAAGACCCTCTAAATTTTGAATTGCTCTCAAGTTGCAGACAAGACACCTAATAAATTCATAGACTGGGGCATGATCACTCAGGGTCCAAAGATTTAAGTTCTCTTTTTTTCTTACTCTGTTTTGTGACATTTATTGGTAGATTTTGGAATTTTAGACAAATTATTTGATATAAAATGTTCCTAAGTCTTAGATTGAACTGCTAGAAACAAAACTTTCAGATTTCCCTACATCCAGGTGTTTCAGAATCCTGCTTTCTAACTGGCTTCTCTGGAGAGTCTATGGACTCAATGTCATAGGGTCAAATAAGACTTTGGACAGAAAAGATTTTTTTAGAGGTTATACCTAGAGTCTCCTTTCTAGCTTTTCCAGAAACAATACAGAGGGTAAGGAACATAACGGAGGGGACAATCAGGCCAAACAACACAACACAGTGTGGAGACACTTGCCTCGTGTAAACCCAGCCTGTGTTGCATCTGAAATACAAATGAATCAGAAAGAAAGTTCAAACACATCTTGTGTAAAGTCAGCTTCCATTAAAAAGAAAACCACAGTTGTTAGCACTGACTGCGCTTGTTGGGGCTTCAGGTCTAATAGAAAACAGCTAAGCACTAACCTTGGTCAAGGCAACTTAATCATAACTGGATATTAAGATACCTTTTAGCCCAAATCATGAAAGCAAGAGGAAACAGGGAGCTTTCCTTTCCCGCCCCCTTTTCTATTAAAGATGCTTGGAAGAGAATTGTAACATGCATTTTTGGAACCTTTGTTGAGACTGTCAAGTGAAGGAAGAGCAGGTACCTCATGGAACGCTCACTGAGCTGCAGGAAGCTGCTTGTGTCATCAGGGTTGTCGTCTTCATTGACCAGCTGGGACCAGCTACCCGTACTCTCCTCACTGCTGCTCGGAGGGTTCAGGGACTCATCAGGGGCTCTGGCTTCTGCGTAACATGCATTTTTGGAACCTTTGTTGAGACTGTCAAGTGCAGGAAGAGCAGGTACCTCATGGATCTCTCACTGAGCTGCAGGAAGCTGCTTGTGTCATCAGGGTTGTCGTCTTCATTGACCAGCTGGGACCAGCTACCCGTACTCTCCTCACTGCTGCTCGGAGGGTTCAGGGACTCATCAGGGGCTCTGGCTTCTGTCAAAACTTCAGCTTCTGGTACTTCTCTGGTAACAAGGCTGTCACTGTAAATATCAGGATGATATTACCAAGAGAGGAACAACATGGAACTCTTCACAGAGAGCGCAAGACACTGATGATGTCGGATATAGGGTGTTTCTTTAGGCTGGTGCTCCCTCTGGTCCCTGTTCCACTCTCCTTTTCATAAATACCCTCCATTAGTTTTCCCAAACCTTCCAATTATCTTTTTCTACTGACTTCTTCCTTTATTGTCAAGGTAGGATGGACACTGGTCTTCATATAAAAGAATCACTGTTGTACAATAGTCTTTAATTATTACATTTATTTATTTGTGTGTTGGGGGTATACATGTGCCATGGCATGTTTGTGGAGGTCAGAGGGCAATTTGTGGATGTGAGTTCTCACCTTCCCCATGTGGGTTCTGGTGACCAAACTCAAGTTTTCAGGATCAGCAGCAAGTGCTTTTACCTGCTGAACCATCTTGCCAGTCCCACAATAGTGTTTCAAACAAAGATACACAAAACATCTCTCTGTGGTTCTAATGCAATGATTCTGGAGGGAGGACCAGGAATCTGCATTTTAAAATAAACCACACCCAGTGATGTGGACATCCCCACACTTTCCCTTCAAATGCCCTTGGGGTGGTTTGAATGCGTTGAATGCACATACCCCCCTACTAATCCCCCCCAGGCACACACACACACACACACACACACACACACACACACACACAGAGCTATGAGCACTCTAGACCAGAACACTGAGGCATATACAAGTTACAAAGCTATTTATGTCTGTCTGTCCTCATGCCCTGTTTCCCTCATACACACTATACGACATGCTGTGAGAGTTGTGTGACTGGGGAATAAACTCAAAATTATGAAGCCAGGGGCTGGAGAGATGGCTCAGTGGCTCAGAGCACTGGCTGCTCTTGCAGAGGACCAGAGTTTGATTCCTAGCACCCACCTGGTGGCTAACAACTGTCCTTAACTCCAGTTTCAGGGAATCTGATGCCCTCTTCTGACCTCTGTGGGCATTGAATGACATAGGTGCATTTATACACATGCAGGCAATACTCTCATACACATAAGATAAAAATAAATAAAATATTAAAGAAATTACAAAGTCAGAGCTCATATGAGTTTTTGACACATCTGTCCTTCTCTAAGAAGAGGGAGAAGTGGGGGAAAGGAAAAAGGAGGGAAAAAGAGGCAGGCGTAGATAGAGAGGAAGGAAAAATGGCAAGTGATGGATAGCAGCAGAGAGAAGT